GGACTTTATCCCTCCTAAGAGGCAGAAGTCACTGTGATGTCAGGGGAGGGCGTCAGGGAGGGTGGTGAGGCCTCTAACCCTCCCAGTCACACACCGGTCAGTGGAGGCCCTCGGGGACCCCGCTGCCCAGCAGTGAGGACACCTCCCCTCCAGCATCGTGAAGACTAAGCGGGAAAGCTGGGGGGGTCCATCCCCGCATCCGATGAGGAGCTGCCCGCTGTTGGAGCGGCGTCAGAGGGAGCCGGCTAAAGCTCAAGGTGAACATCAGGTTTGCTGCCCAGAAACGTTCTGGTTGGCACTGAGCGAGGTGTTCCCTGTGAAACCCTGGATTCCTTCATTTATTCAGCAAATGTTAGTTGAATATCCAGCGTGTGCCCAGTTCCATGGGGCAGTGAGGATGGAAGTGGGAAGACCACAGGCATAGGTGTGGTCTCTGCCACGAAGCACGTACGTTCCAGCAGGGAACCCGGACTCCCAGAGACAAGTGAGCTCCAGCCTGAGGCGGTCAGCAGCCCAGGGAGAGGGGAGAGCGCAGCAGGAGAGCCCCGTCGTCGGCCAGCTTTCCCGGGGCCCGTCGCGTCCACCTGGATGCGCGCGTCCACCCCTAGGCGCCAGCCCCCCACTGGCCACCACCCCCTTCAACGCCTCGGTCAGAAGCCGGCCCAGAGAGGAAGCCCGAGGTTCTACGAATCGCTGAGCACATCTTTTAAAAAAACACCCTCACACTGTAACATCCAGAAGTTTTTAGATTCACAGTACGTTAGCAGATAAATGCGTCCTTGAGTTTATACGATATCCACTAACCAATAGGATTTCATGACCATCACCAGTATTTCCCACTTTTCATGCACGTAATTGACTGGTGTATTTTTAGGTTTTACACGTGACGATTGAGATCTTTCTCAGTGAACATTTACTGAGCATCTACTACGTGCCGGATTCGGGACCAGGCCTTAGAGAAGGAAAGGGGAGGAAGATATGCAGGGTTGGGAAGCGAGGAAGGGAGAACTTCCCCTCAGTTCTCTGCATGTGAAGCTTTCCAACCAACCAACCAACCAACCACCCAGAAAAAAAGACCTTCTACTTGTTGCAGCGTTATTTGGAATTGTAAAGGACAACAAATAATCCAAAGGCCCGTCAGGGAGGACTGGTTGACTTAGTTATTGGATCATCCTGGCAATGGTGGACCATGTCCGTGTAAAAAGAAATGAGGAGCATCTCTGTTCATTGCTATGGACTTATCTTCAGAACATAGTGTTGAAAACAGGGAGGTGGATAGAAGCATGTAAAACACGCTCTCGTATAAGAGAATCAGAGGATACGTTAAAAACGTGTTAACATTAAAAAAAATGGAAAGATAAATTAAAAACAAAGTTTAATAAAACATAGTTACCTATTGGAAGGAAAGGGAGTAACACTGAGATAGAAGCTACACTTCTCTGAATACTTCTTGTTATAGATTTGACTTTGAAGCCACATAAATGTCTCACTTTGAGACCGGAAACCTCGACGCTGGCACTGCCATCGCCTCCAGAGCGGTGAGTGGGGATGCGGACTGGATCTCGGGGCCCTTTGTTCAGGCGCCGGCCATCTGAGAGGACGGCGGGTCCCGCGCCCCAAAGACCGTCTTACAGCCCATCTCAGGCCGACGCTTCTTAGAAGAAGAAAAGTGTAGGCGAGGGGTTTGGGATTCGGGGAAAACGTTAATCAGATAAAAGCTGCAGTCGGTGACTTTCCGAGCATCCCCGCACCTGCTGACCGGTGATTCTTCATCTGCATCCTGGGCGGCGGGTGCTCTGTCCCTGGAGCCCGGTGGCTCAGACACCGTCCTGGTCGCTTGCAGTCTCGGGGCACAAGGGTTGGCTTGCTTGCGGGCCTCCTGACATCAGGGCAGGTCCAGTCATACTTCCCAGTCCCCAGAACAGAAGCTTTCTGCATGCATCAGAAATAGTTACCAAGCTTATTTATTCACTATTTATCTAAAGCTAAAAAAAATGTTAACTTCTTGAGTTCCCCATCCATGTAACGGTAAAACAAAATTCAATTAAAAAGAAACTAATCTCTAAAAATTGGAAGCAATAAAAAACAAATAAACCTAACTGTGTGAAGTTGGTTGCAAAACCACACAAAAATTCTTTTTGGTGACTTTAAAACACAGGCGTTGGTCTCTGAATTTCTGGTGGAATAGACTCAAAAGGGAAAGAATCCCCCAAACAGTAGAACCCCCCCAAACTGTTTTTGTAATCACACACACATATATATATATATATATATATTAGTAATCATATTTTTGGTGGTAGTGTTGATATCATCATTCGAGGCCAATACATGTATATTTTGTGGGAAAGAAAGAGTCATGATACCTTTTGTCACTGAGAACTGGAATTTCAACATGACAAGGGGAGGGAGGAGTGAGGGTAAGTAAATATCCTGCGATGTAAGCAGAGGTACTGATTATGTGTTTCAACAAACAAACAGAAACAAACCCTTTTCCTAGCCGTGTCCACAGAAAAGGCCCAGAAACAGTGACCGACCCCGTAGCGAGCAGCCGATTGTTGGACCGGGGCCGCGGTCGAGCGGCCAACGGCACAGCAAGAGGGGCGGGCACCCCGCACGCGCCTCAGGTCAGGCCTCTGGGTCTCCCGACCACCGGGCAGGAAGCAGAACTGAGGGAGAAACAGGTACGTGAAATGTCGACGCAACAATCAAAATCCACGCTGGAAAACTGTGCAGGAAAAACGGCCCAGTTTCTTCAACAACAAAATTACAGCGACAAGTTATGGCAGAAAAAACTAGGTATTTAGAGAGATTTAGGAGACATGTTAATCAGTTTCAGGACGTGGCCCGTATTTGGATACGGACTTGGAGAAGTTGTTGAAAAACTAGACAATTGGCTCCCGGCCCGTGCGGCTCAGCTGGTGGAGCGTCGCCCTGGGCGTCAGAAGGTCGCCCGTCCCGTTCTGGTCAGAGCAGTGAGCTCGAGCCCCAGTTGGGGCGTGCACAGGAGCACCCGATCGATGCTTCTCTCTCTCAAATCAATAAAAACTGTTTAAATAAATATTTCTAAAAGCTAGACAATTGAAGAAAATTGAGTATTAACTAGATATTGTTTGATATTAAAAAGTAATGTTAATTTAAAAATACACTAATTAAAAAGATTTTGAAAAACCACAATAGTGGCTATGCTTTTAAAAAGAGTCCTTGTCTTTTAGAAACACGTATTGAAATATTTGTGGGTGACCTGACATGGTGAGGGTTTGCTCCACAATAGTCCAGAGTTGGGGTGGGGGACTCATAATAGCATTTTCTCTATTTTTGCATACACTTGAAAATTTTCATAGTGAGACTTAATTACAAAAAGAGGCAGTGCATTTAATATAAGGTTTACTCTCTAAGTTCATTTCTGTTCGCT